TTGATTTGTTTCTTCAAGAAACTCGGTTTTCTACTAATTTTGATAAAAAATTGTTGAATTAAGCATACTTTTTATGACTATAAATTTGTCAATTTTCTATTAATAAATCAAGTATAAATGAATTTGAACAATTGTTAAATTTCATATTCTATAATGTACTTAATGCACTAATTAATCAAATAATAATACATGTCCAAATGGTTGGGTACCTCCAGGACAATAAGCAAACATGCAAATTATAAGCAATTTCACAATATTGTATTTTTTTACTAGCTTTAAATTAACAATTATTTCTTTCACTTGCTTAAGATTATTGATTACTCATATAGGTTTGTAATAAAATAAAATTTTGATAAATTGAAAAAATTGTTCAACAAAACCTAATTGGTTATATATCAATTTAGGCTTCTTTTTGTGTTGTCATGTTTATTGATTTGGTTATGTAGGATTCATTTGAAGTTCTATTTCTCTACAAGAATATTAATGTTCACATTCAAGTAGAAACAATCACAATTGGTAAGTATTCCAAATGATTTTTCACTTACATTAATCAAAACTGTTACTTTAAATGGTGCGTTCTCATAGAAGTCACACCGGTTGTCACTATAGAGATCTTCTAGCGGTCTATAGAAGAATCCTAGCGGCTCTATGAATAATTTTGCTGCGTTTTCAATGAAGGATCACTCTATCAACATTCGTTCTCTAAAGTTCTTTCTCTTATTTTTAATATACACGCGTGTCACAACAATAAGGCAGAAAGAGGTGTTAGTAACCATTAAAGATGAAAAGGTAAGATATAATTTAAGAATATTATATAAAGTATAAATTGTGGATTTGTTATATTTATTTCTATGAAAAATATGTTGTTTGATTGCTAGGTTATATATCTGGGTTTTTTTTTGTAATTTGATTTTGACAAGTTTGATCTAAATTTAATAATTGAAGCAGACAGGAAAGATATGTGCTAAGGATTTTTGAATTTTTATTGCCCTCCAGAAACCAGCTGTAGCCTCATAGACCGTTCCTTCATATCTTGGTAGGTCTTAGCATTTCCCCAAATTTGGCTACAAGAAGTCATGGATGCACTTCTTGAATCAATCCTCTAAACTGAATTTCATTTGTTAGTTAGATGCAATGACCAAAATGCAAGATTTGTGAAAATTCATTATTATTTATTAGTTAACCTTTGGCAAATTATGAAACTAATATTATATTTTTGTTCATAACACGTTTTTTTTCTTGTAATAATTTCTTTGATCAGAAGATATGTATATGTGATTGAGTGTAGCCTGAAAAATCATATTTTAATTATTATAAGGAAAAATACTTTATAAATTTACCAAATTAAAATATCTGAATTTGATGTTTATGGTTATGACAATGCACTTAAACTGTAATGTTTATCGAATTTCTTTGCAGAATTTAATGTTGTTGGTACATATAACAATTTATTGTTGCTTTTGGTTTTACAGGGCCAATATGAAAAGAGTCATGTGAGCCTCCATGGAGGTTGGTACACGGGACAAAGTCAATTCATAAAGCTACTACACAACATGTTTTAATCAAGAAGTCGCATCATGTTGTGATAAAACAAAGATCACGTGGATCATTTATGTTAAAAATTACTGTATTAAAAAACCAAATTGCTCTAATATAAATATTAAATATTTTTATTTAATAAGTTTGGTTCAAAAAGTCTAAAAATAAATCTAACTAACATTTTTTATTAAAATTTCACCTAAAACAATGTCACCTATTAATGTAATATGTATTTAATTTTTGTTCCTCGCGTTTAACGCGGGTCATAATCTAGTTCGTATAAATAGGATAATTTACATAGTATCTTGACTTCTTGATGTAGTGTCCTTATTTAATATTAGAGTTATAGAATGATTTCAAATATACTCCATAAATACTCAAAATATCTTTCTATCGATTATGGTATGGAAATTACCAAAACTTAAATAATATTTTAAAATCTATCTAAATAATTAGAGAAATTAAATATCCTTCTACTTTTCTTCTTAAGTATATATCTACCATATGAAATAATGACTAAATGTCTTAAATTAATATTAATTTTATTAAAATATAATACTTGTGATCGTTGAAATAGAAAAAAAATATAGGAGGATATTTAATTTCTCTTAGTTAAATGGGTAAAAGATCAAAATAATTTAAGGATGATTGACATTAAGCTTGGTTTAAATAGCGTGCTGAGGCCGGCGCAAGAAAAAATGCATCAGGGTCTGCGATATTATGTCCGTAATGCAACGTGATGTCCGTTCATCGAGGGCGCATCTGGCGGAACACATTGTGTATTGGCCCAATCAACGTAAAAAAACATCAAATTTAAAAAGCCCATGTCATTTGTTAAATACAAAATAATATATACAGGCCCTAGACTAGGAGAAAACATGTACGCCTTTCATTTTTTTTTTTCTTCATGTCATTACTGATTAGTGATTATACAAGACTAAAAAATAGCCTTTCTAGTCTTTTTGTTGGCTGTTTTTCACCGGAAAGAACTCAAGAAGTAATACAGTTTGCTTGTTTCATACTTGATTACAGTAAAGTGCTCCTTTTTGCTTATTCTCTTTCTCTAAAAACGATTCTAATTATTAGATCTTAAGGGGTCAAATAATCAGTTACGAAGTTGTATAATAAAATGAAGTATTGAATCCCATTATGAAAAAAGTACCAAAATACCCGTTGTGAAAAGTATTGAATCCAAATGAAAAATCACCAAATTAAAATACTCCTTGTGATTATCAGTTGCTATGCTTTCCTATTATCCTACCTATTCAAATCCATAACTGTCATGTCTGTCATCTTTTAAAAACAGAACTTTCCTACAAGATCATCACCACCCTCACTCTCATTGTTCCTAATAAACACTACCCACCTAAATTAACCTTAATTATCACTAACTAGATATATATCCAATTAACAAAACAAACAATTATGTTTTAAATTTAAATATTTTAATGATATATAAGAACGTTATCATAACATAATAGCATCTGGTAGTCACCTAGAATCGATTTGCTCAAAATAGACTTGAGCCAACAACAGTTAGGTCGAGGAAAAGGAAACAATTTCCTTGAATAACAATAAGGCTAGACATCTATTAGTTAATAGCTTATGGGAAAGAAAATTGAAACAAATCATACATAACACCAACATAATTTTTAAAAAGAACCAACACGTTCAGATGTTATAAGCATATCATGCTTACAAGAGAGCATGTGGACGTAAATATGTAATGCACTAAAAATTGATAGTTGATGGGAAAGTAATCAAGAAACATATATAGCATCATGCAGAATATTTATAGATTACGAAACTGAACTAGAAAGATAAAGCAGCATCTCATCATATCTAACGCTTGGCAGGTGCAACCCAAACAAGACTGTCAACATACCCCACAACTTTAATTATACCAAGTTGTCCACCCATAATCTTGAAGGTTTTACACTTCTCTGCAATTGGATCATACAAAGCAAAACAATCATTGGGAGCATGGAAAAGGAACTCACCATGTGATGTAAATCCATATGGATATATATCAAAAAAAACCTGTGAAAATGCATATGATGTTTAACCCATGATTCAGCCACCCCATACTCATCCATCACCCACACCTCACATTCAAGATATGCCTTTGACATTACACAAAGTTTTCCGGGTAAAACTCCTACAACATTCATAATATTCATGCAGAAACTATAGTAATCTACTACAGAATCTGGAAGAGGTATCATTCGGAATGTCTCCAAATCCAAATCAAATGCCACTATCGTTTCTTTCTTCCACCCGACATCAGTATAACCAAGCCAATGACAATGGCCATCATGGCCATCTGTGCAAACTTCATCTCGAGTGGAAATTATTGTAACGTGTGATGGAAATCTTTGAGATATTAACTCCCATGTACCTTTTCTCATACTATAAACCTCAGCTTGAGGTACCATTTTGGATTCTCGAGGATAGCTTGTAAGCTTCACAAGTTTGTAATCATCAGTTTTGGGATCAAACCCAAACCGGAAATGGACTTCGCTTGATTTATTAAAGGGCACAAGACATGGTGGGAGAGTTAGCATGGCGGAGAGAGAAGGATTGCATACGTGAACGACATAATCATCATCATATGATTTGTAATAGTAGCATATTAAGCCATTCACAGATCCAATGATACCACCCCTACTATCTTTAGATTGAGGATTAAATGGAGGTTTAATGAAATTGGTCAGTTCGAGATCGGGTGAATGAGAGGGTCGTGCTGTGAATGAACTAAAGTCAAAAGAAAGTCCCTCACGGAAGAACAAGAGAATCTCATCATTGTGATGGATAGAACGCTGGAGGTGGGATTTTACAAAGGAGGAATCAGATAACAGAGCATTCCAATCTTTACAAACGCACCTCATTTGAGCAAGCTGTTTGGCAATTAACTGGATGAATATGTCTGATAAAACTTCGCTTGGGAGGTTCTCTATAGTGGCTAGGTTTAGTCTTGAAGCCATTTTCAGGTGTCAAAGTAAAATTTCTTTTCAGCTGCAAGGTAACACACAGACCCGTTAGAAAAAAAAAAAAAAAAAAAAGACCAGTTATAATAAGAAGACCATCCAGTTAACAAGATATAGATTTGTCAAGCTCTTGTATGGCAATTGGTGATTATGTTTTTAATCCTACCCTATTAGGTTTGTAATCACCATTTTGAATTACATCATTCATTTAGTCAATTAATTTTATTCAAATTTTGGTTGCTATTTAAGGTTTCTTTGAATGATTGATGCTTTCTTAACGGTTTTTGACATCAATTTTTCAGTTTTTTTTTATAGGGTTTCCCCAAATCAAAATATTACCTTCCTTTTTCTTTGGTGACATTGATCATTTATACGTTAATTACTTGGATTTTCAGAAATAAAGTTGAAAATTAAGGCCAGCATTAAGTTGTTTTTGGTGGTACTGTTAAGAATTCTGTAAATGTCCTTTTGGGGTGAAAAGTAACTCTAACGATATGAAGTTAGGAGAAATTCAGAGACAGCAAGAAATAGACCCAATTAGACTGTAAGAGAATCAGAGAAACATACAAGAAGCGAGAGGCGGTTACACCAAGAGTCCCGGAGATGAAAGGGGCAGACTGTCGGCCAGTTGCGAGATTCCGTGAGACCGATGCCGAAAAGGCAAGAGTGCGGGAAAGTTTTTCTTTAGAGATGGATCTGTTCACTAACATCAGCTCTCATCATAAATTTTCAAATCCATATTCATCGGGCCCAATAAACCTAAAGCCCATCCTCTCGGAACCTAACGGACCTATCCTAACTAACTCTACATCCATCCCCTAGTTTTATAACAACTAAAAAACGAGTTTGTTGTTGTTGGTATTAGGCCCGTTGAAAATACCCAATACCCGATTACCTGACCCGATCCGTTATGAATTCGGGTAGATTAGGTCGGGCAAATCGGGTTTCGAGTTTGAATATTCGGGTAATCGGGTAACCTGGTATTTAAATAGGTCGGGTATTGGGTAGGTTTAAAAAAATTCGGGTATACCCGATTTAGAAAAAAAAAAAAACTGATTAATACACTAGTTATAATAACTATTAAAGTTGTATCATTATTTTACATAATTAGTGTTCCTTATAGTTTAAACCAAATGTTATATGACTTCGTTATTTGAACGGTATATAATAAATACAAAAGAAATTGTTAAAAATGAAATGAAGTTTTGAACAAAATGTTACAACAAATATAATGAAAATGAATAAGATGTTAGATTCCCCTTCATTTTCTTTGTGCATTAGGGATCTCTTTCTTTTTTTCAACTATGCACATGTTTGTTTTTTGTCATTTCTTATTTGTGAATTGAAATATAGCTATATAATTGGTCCCTGCAATTAGATAACATGTTAAATTTTTTTATTTATAACTTTTATGTACTCACCTTTTGCATTAAATCATGTAACATGTTTGGTTAATCCAAATTTGATCAAACATTGATCATGTACTCTATAAACTGTTTTTTTTTATCAAAATTTGAAATGGAATGCAAAAATCACATAACATATTATAATGATTTGTATTGTTATCGTATATGTACTTGTTAATTGTATGAAATATTTTGTTACCCAATTTTTTATTAAAGCAACCGAAATGCAAAAAAGAATTAAAAAAAATCAATAAGTGACACTTAAGTAATTTTCGGGTATACTCGAAAATACCCAACCCGACCTAAAACCCGAATACCCGAGAACCCGAATTACAATATAGGTCCGGTATCGGGTGTTATTATTTTAAGAAAATAGCCGAACTACCCGACCCATTCTACCCGAAACCCGAAAAATTTACCTGATCAACGTTCCTAGTTGGTATATGTTTGTAGATGATCCCATAATATATATACCACACTATTTTATTGTAAGCTTCTAACATGTTATTCTTTTTTATGAATTTGGTAAACCTTTACATTATTTTAGTGAGATGGTGAGATTAATTACCTAACTGGGCCAAATCCAATAGAACCTAACTCGAGATCCAATTTATGAAATAAAATGTTTTTTTTAACGACAAATCTAATCTATTCCTAAACTACTCCTTAATTCCACTTATGTCTATGACGAGACTTGAACCCTCAATCTCAAGGAGGAGTGGAACACTGGATACCGTTGGGTTAGAAGCCCTTAATAAAATGTTATATGTTAAGTTTTAATACTTTAAAAATGCATATGAATGCCATTTATATATCATTTTACTTATTAAGTTATAAAACTGGTTCTACCGTTAAACAAATACTATAAAATTGGTTATCTAATTAATATCAAAAGATCTAAACACTATTACTATAAATCTATAACACGTTTATTATAACACTTTTCCAAGCCACTCCGGCCTCCGTTAAATAAAAAACAGATGATGGTTAGTTTAAAATATAGACTTACTAAAAAAAATAGATTATTATTCTAATAGTGTATACTTTATTACCAAACTTAACTCACAAAATATTTATAAAGAATAACAAAAAAAAAAACTTTAAACATGTTTTGAGTCATCCAACCCTCAATGTTTTTTGTTTTCTACAAAACGATCCGGTTTGAGTTTTCCCGACTCGCTATCCTCACATACCTAAGGCCATCTGCAATATACACACTAAATATTTACTATGTTTTAGTGTAAAACCTGCACATCCTCTGAATATGTTTACCCTTATAAATTTATCATCTCTAATGTATGCATTCAATATTCTACTAATTTAAACATTTCAGAGTGTTATAATGATATATTGGATGTGTGTTACTTTACTTTTAATTACAATGTTTAGATATGATCCAATATATAAATTGTAATTCTATTCTAATAAATGAATATGTTTATTCTCCTATTGACAAAAGTAATATTATTAGAATTCCTCATTAATATTATATGTCACATATCAAGCCACTTGTCAACCTATTAATTATCAATTTCAAATTTTAAATTTCTCACTCTAATTACATTAAATTAATAATTGATTCTCCATTTTAAATTTCAAAATTTAAAATTCTTCATTCTAATTATATTAAATTAATAATATTAGATTAAAAATAAAATAAAATTAATACAGATTATAAGGTAATATAACTTCACATATTTATTTAAATCAATTATTATAATTTTATATAACTAAAAAGATATCTCTTAAATAATAATTATTTAAAATAATTGATTAATAATTTTGATTTTTTATTATAAAATTTTAATTAATTTTATAACCGTGGTTCTCACGGGTTATAAACTAGTAACTAATTGTGGAAAAGTTGCCTCCAAAATTAGCAAGTGGCAAATAGTTCAGAGGTTATTTCAGTAACTTATCATTTACTATTCATAGTTTGACTATGAATAGTAATATATATGGTAATTGAATATTGATGGACAGCATATATATTGATATGTCAAAAATGGCAGCTCCATTTGAATTGAATTCTTTGACTACGCAACAGTCGGCCAAA